GTTAACCCCTATAATAGGGCTATGGTAATTACCATCATTCAATTTGTTAAGGTCATTAATAATTGGCAAATTTTTATCTTAATTTCATTATTAAAAATAATCGATAATTAATAAAATAGTTAATATTTACTTCTATTATTCAACATATTGAAATTAGTTTATAAATATAAATATTTTCAAATATTATATTAATTATTTGATAAAAAAACTATAAACTAATAAAATTAGAAATAAATTAGTGGTCTTACTAATTAATTTGGATGGTGGCAATAACCTAGCCCCTATAATATTACTGTAATATTTAATGATAGTTGGCCCTTAAAACTAGGGCTTGGCCTCAATTTGGTTTTATTACTAAATCATCAAAATTTTTTGCTATCCAAATTTATTTCAATAAGCTTATAAAAACCGAAAACCCAACCGTATACGTCTTCAAAACTTTGGAACTTTGGTTTGGTAACCAAAATTAAACTGTTTTTTGGTTCGACTTTAATAAAGTTATTTTTGAAAGTATTTTTTTACCTCTCAGTAACACACTGTAACAATAGAAATTGAAATAGTTCTAATTTCATACATTTAATTTGAAATTTCAAAACAAAAACATTCATTTCATTATTTCAATTTCATAAAAAAACAATGTTTATCATAATTTTGAATCACATAATAAAGAATGTTGTTTATCTTTATATAGTTCCTTGAGAAAATTGGTTCTTTTTAGTTAAACAAGAACCATTATTTTGATTTTTGGATTTTAACGTCGAAACAAAACCCATCTCGGAATATAATGCAGTCAATGTCCGTTTTTATTTGAATCCGACCGAAACCAAATATAATTGAACCAAAATAATAATTTCAGTTTGAAATTTCGATGTTTGCGGTTTGTATCTAAAATACACCCAGCCCTACTAAAAACTTAATTGTCCTGTAGTGAGAGTGGCGTAATCTTATATAACTAGAGTTATAGGTAAAGTCACATGTTGGTTATTTGATAGCTCTCGTAGGGATTTCTACGATATGTTCGCTTTATTCATCATAAAAAGCCCTCTTTTAACAGAAATTTCTCAATTTTATTTTATATATTCATAGTTTAGCGGAATTTTAAAAAAAAATTACGGCTAACCAAACATTACCCAGTTAAAACACTTTTTGAGAGAAAATTAATGCTTGGTAACGATTCTAATGCTTACAGACCGATGGATCTCGTCTCGATTGAGTGTAAAAATCTTTGTATTGAGTTTGAATCGGAGCACGAGTCGAAGGTGGAGGTGGATCGATATAGGAAGAAAATGGAAAAGATTAGTGTGCGGATTAATTAACACTAACACTCTGCCTTTGGGCCCTACCGTTGAGGTGGATGCCACATAAGTTAAAATGTTGTCACATCATAAAAGATCATCCATGTAATATCCACGTCGATATCCACATCGATAAAAGGCACCCCAAGATTTTCTAAAAAATTAATATATAATGATATATTTTATTTTTAATAATTTTTATATTTATTTTATTTTAAAAAATTATTATTATTTTCTTTCTAGTATTAGAATTGGTTGTATTTAGATTGTGATTTAGTGTTTAATAAGAGCATAATTGAGAAAAGTTGAATTTTCATGGGTAATGCAATAATGACTTACAAAAAAGTATAATACCTCTTTGTTACGCACATTAAGTGTTTAATTAATTACGTTAATGCAATACACTTTCTCTTATTCACTTTATTTTTTGTATTATGTTTTAAATTTCTTTTGTAAGACAGTAGGAGTATTTAATTAATTCGATCTCTTTAATTGTTAGTAGGTTTACATATAGTTATTGTGAACTCCAAAAAAACTCATCATATTTATCATTTTTAACTTTTAAGTATATAATTACATATAAAAAAAATAGACTTTAAATACAATGGAGAATTAAATTTAAAGGGATAAAACTAAGGCTAAAGAGAAAAATATTTATCCATCTTGAAATTAATGATAAAAAATAATATTAATTTGGAGCAAATTTTTAGTATTATTTTTATTTTACGATTTAGATTATTTTATAATATAAAATAAAGTCCCTTAGATGAGGACTGAGGAGAGGGCTCTTAATATTTTAAACTTTTTCCATTTAAATGTCAATATTTTATAATTTAAAAGTAATTTAAATTATAAAATATTTTTTATATAATTATATTCATTTATGATAGAAAAAATTGTCCTGGTCCCCGCTAATATTTTGGTTAAACTTCGTCCCTGCCGCTGAAGATATGGAGTAGGGAGTGGGAGATTGGAAAAGTACATAAATGGTCACTTGCTCAACAAGTAATCATACCAATGTAAGGCAATGTATTTTTGAAAACTATGCAACATGAGCCAATATAATGTTCAACTTGCTTGACTTTTGTTAGTCGGATAACTTGCTCGACTTTTCTTAGTCGGTCAAATTGTCTTTCTGAACTCAACTAGAAGACAAATTGACTTCAAGGTCTTCCCAACCTAATTAGATCAATGCAAGTAGACAAATAAGTTTTAGGAAGAGCTGAATGGTTCATAGTCCAAGTCATTTAGGTTTTACCTGTAATAGCATCATTTATTACGTAACAAACTACCGGCTTTGCACGCAAAAAGTTCACATCAAAGGGGAATACCCAATTAGCTTCCTTAATCATTAAGGTCACTCAATATATTTTGATAATTTTTTTATTTTTGCTAATAAAAAAATTCTGATAATTCTCCAACTAATACACGCTTTCTAGTCTGCTTAATTGAATATTATTAATCAACATCAGTGCATAGCAGAGGACAAATGTGATGCTCAAAATCTCATTCATTAGTGAGACGAATAAAATAGGAAGAAAGAGAGTCCAATCTACATTTATTAATTTGTGAGCGCACACTCCTATTAATTAATTTCATATTTTATATTAAATTTATAATTTGTGAATCTTGCATTCTCCATATTAGATTTGAATTTTTTTTTAATATATATTATAAAGAAAGGTTAAATTTAAGAAGTTTTGACATTTTTCATGTGAAATGTCAATATTTTTTATAAAATTATTTAAATATTTTTAATAAATTTTTATATGTTAATTTATTAAGAGTATTTAAATAATTTTATAGAAAGTTTTGGCATTTTAATTATTAAGATATTTTAATTTTTTGAAATCTTTATATTATATTAAGAAATTATTAGATATTTATTGAAAATTTTTTAAAGCACATTGGGCATTTATTGAAGACTTTTTAAAAATCAATTGGGTATTTATTTAAGAATTTTATTGTTAAAAAAATTTATATATTTTTGTATATTTGATTGAGCTATATAAAAGGAAATAGTTCTAATCTTTTTCTAAATCCCTTTCTATCCAATTAAAAATTTGAAAACAATTTATATATTTATATATATTACTTTTAGAAAAAAATTAAAAGATAAAGAGATATTATTTTTATGAAAAAGAAAACTTTAACTAAATATCAATGGAGGTACAATAAAAGATATGCCAAACACAAATGATCACCTTCGAATCCTACTAGACCAGCCTAAACCACTTATTACATTGTGTCTATAAAAGTCGCACGAATAACTCGAACAATTCTAGAAACAATCTCAGTTACTATTTGCACTTTTTCATTAACAAAAATAATTAGTAGACACTTTATTTAATGTATTTTTTGAATCTTAATTTTGTATTAATTATCAAAATATATTATAAATACAATTAATTTAGACAATTCCTATATTTTATATATATTGTTATATCTTTAAATTTATTTATATTTAATTTTAAATTAAAAAATAATAATTTTTTAATAAATATATTATATTATATGTTAAATTAAAATATACTAACCAGTGTCTACTAAGCTAACCAAATATTAGGAGGAGATGACCGCTCCAGTGAACCTCCATGGGTGCTATTTGCATAACGCCTCGACACTAACTTGAAGATTAGCAATTAAAAATAACTCCATAATTTTTGGCTTTAAATCTGCCCAAATCAAATCATCTTCCAAAAAATGGGGATATGATCATACTTTTCCAGCTTCACAACGATAAAAAATTATAGTTATTTTCAAATTTTAAAAAAATATTAATTTTTAATATGTGGATCCTATCACCCAATATATTAGATTTGAACTATTTTTTAATAGGTATTTTTAAAAAATATCCATACTAGTATTTACTGAGAATTTAGGAAGATATTTGTTATTACAGTAATTTTTTTATGTTTTTTTTTTTTAAACAGTTATAATTTTGGGATAAGGGATTCGAAATTGAACCATTAGGATAAAAATGCACCTATAACATGGTTTATAACCATCAAACCAAAAGGGCAGGTGCAATTTTCTACATGGTTAAGATAAGATCATAATTGTAGCTTAATTTCTTGCCTTATACGATATCAAACCACCTGCTATAGGTAAACATCAAGTACAAGATCAATAGCATTAGTTGCTAGGCATCAAATAAATTTGAATATTTGATCTTAAACTACAAATTAAAGAATTTTAAATTATAATATGTTTAGTTTAAAAGAAATGAAGAGGAGAAGAGAGGAAGATTTTTTATCAATCATATATTTAAATCACATATTGTAATCTGATTGATAAAAAAATTCCCTCCTCTCCTCTATTTTTATCAAATTAAACATAATAATTCAGCCAAATTCTTATTGATACGAAGAATTAATACTTTAAAAGCTATTAAATGCACCTTTCTCCTACCAGTTCCAAGTAATTTCTAAATGCTCCAAACACTAGAAGGTATCCAACGGAGCCCTCAATTTTACTTTCTTGCCAACGTATCTATTCTTTTTCCTTTCTTTTTTTTTTCTTCCTCGTGTTGCTGATGTTGGAATAACATTATATGAACAGTCTAAATTTTCATAAGTATTTGCGTTAGCATGCCCGTAACTGCTATTTCTGGGGATGTTCTGCTGCTTGTACCTGCATGCATCACTAGCTGAAATAGCAAAGCTGGATCTAATTAACCAGAAAGCTACTTGAATTAAAGTATAT